TCGGGACCATCGCTATTCCGGATAACTGATTTTTCCGGTTTTCTGAATCGCTACAAAAAGCCGTTTTTTTATTGTTAAACCCAACTAAAAAAAATTTTTTGGGGGGAAATAATCTTGAAAAGAAGAAAAAACGATGAAGTAATACACTAATGATTATTTCCAAAATGATGGTAAGGTGAACATCTTTCAAAAAAGAAAGAAAAATCCTAAAATCTTATAAGGAAAAAAAAATTTTGTTTAAAAAATGGCGGGAAAATTTATCGAATTTCGTTCCGGTTTTCTGGTTTTCCGGTTTTCTGATTTCCGGATAACGGGTTCTGTACTGTATATATATATATATATGTACACACAGTACACTCCCGATTATCCATGCGAGGATTATCGAGTTTGCGGATTATCCGTGCTCGTTCCGAAGTTACACAAAAAATTTAACGAGAAACATTTTTACAATTAAAAAAAAATTGATTCATGAAGTTATAACACTAACAAATTTTTAGAAGCAATATTTGTTATTAGATTGCAGTATATGGAATATCAGCAGCATGGTCAAAGGTAAAATCATCTACGTTCTTACGATAGTGAAGAAAGATCATACCGCTTGATGAACAATCTTTAGATATTCATGAAGAATATGATAACAGTATTCTTTAACAAGCAAAAGAAATCTAAGTTTTCGAAATTTTTGATGAAGAAAATTTAGAAGATTAGTTTCAAGGTGTGAGCCTGTCTTCCTGTATTTGACAGATGATGACATCGTTACTTGTTAAATCAAACAGTGATGATAGTAACTAATGCAGAAGATGTAATAAATGAGGGAAAGACAATTTTTAATCCTGCTGCTCTGTGGAAACTTTATTAGATTATACGGGAGGATTTGACATTACTGCGGTTTGTAAAATATGTGTCAATATATGGCAAAGTCCCATTAAAAATTTTTTTAAGCAGCAAACGTTAAAAGGAAAATTCCTAATTTGATGTTATACAATGTGCAAGTTTAAGTAATTTTTATGTTCTTTGTACTGGTATTGATTTTTTCTTTAATAAAAAGAAGTTTTCGGATTATCCGTGTTTTTCGATTGTTTGTGCGACCTGTCCCGGTGATTAACCCGGATAATCAGGAGTGCACTGTATATTTATATATATATTTGTGTGTGTGTGTGACAGGACAAAGTGGTAGGCAGAAAAAAGAAGTGAAGATGTGAAATGAAGCAATCTTTTATTTTAAAACATATTTAAAAGTTGGAAGAACTCAAATCTTGCTCCAAAATCTGTGTGCTTGAGTTTTTAACTTAGGTAGAGTAACACAAGTTTGCCCCTATATTATGTTAGACCTAGTGAAGATTATTGCTAGGTTTAAATTAAATTTTATAACCTGTGGTATATTTATTGGAAAGAAAAAGTCAAAAGATTATTAAGAAATATCAGGTACCCCGTGGCAGAATCGCAGCGACATGGTCGCAGAACGTTACAGAGTTCTTGCAGAATGATTTTTCTTTTGAAAAAGATAATGACTTTTTTTCAGAAGTTTACACATAATATTTGAATCATGCGTTTAGATAATCACTTTTTGACGCGCTCAATTTACGGCGATAGCATCGTGAATCGATGTTATGCTCCAATTATATTTTCGGCAGTTATGATATTGATTTTCACTTGGATTTTAAATATCCCGATACATTTCAAACAATATGGAAAATTCAAATCGTGCATTTGAGTATATACTTTTTTAAGGAAATGATTTTATGAAATTTTATGCAGTTATTGCTATTGATTTCTCCTTAGTTTTTAAATCTGATATTTTTTATGCAATATTTATTACAACAACCTAATCTTGAAACGAAACACGCATTTGAGGAGTCTGATTTGTGTGATTTTGTCGTCGATCTTTTTTTGGCAATTACTACTATGTGTTGGATTTCATGATTTTTAATTATTTTTTTACTGTGATGATTATTTACCAAATGCGAAAAAAGAAATAATTTGTGTGTCCCCCCCCCCTCTGACAAAATTCGAGAATATCACCCATAATATTAGAATAAAAAATTGTTACCACATGTTCAATTAAAATATACATATATATATAGTTTTTTTCTTTTTTGTAAACACAGTGTTTTTATTATTTTAAATTAGTAAAATATATGCTTGTTATTATGGAAAGTATTTTGCAAAAAGATATTAGTGCTAGTGAGTTTTGTCGCAGATAGATCGAAAAAATTCTGCCATGGGGGATCAGGTATTAATACAATTTTTTGAACAGTTTGTAATTACAATCTATTTTATTGAACAGTATTAATTTTTAAGCCATTTTTGAATGTGAGAAAATTAAAAGCAACAATTGAAAAAAAAAAGTAATTATAAAGTAAAACCTATATAGTAAATATAGGAAATGAATATAGTAAAACCTAATTTTATAATTGTGTGAAGAACTCTTGTTAAAATATCATTATTAGATTTTGTGATTACTATAATTCTCTCTGTGATTACTATAAATTTGTGATCTCATACTGAGCACTATACTCCAATACTGAACACTATGTTATTACAGATCACAGTATTATAAGCAGGAATACTCAAACCGACTCTTAAATAATCTGATATATTATTTTATACTGCCTTTTGAAAACCTGCTTAAAACTAAAACAGTATGGAAACATTTATATATAACAGAAAATGTCAACATTTTTTGGTACTATACTAAAATTTTAAGTTTTTTAATATTTTTTTTACGCAATTATAATGGCCATTTTTAGTTTTTACCTTTTTGTCCAGTTTTTTATAGTATCCTGGACAAAATACTAACCCTGGTTGTATGTTTGTGCTGTGTGCAAGTTTTTTTTATAATATATTATATGCATTATGACATTTATCCTTGATTTTTATTTACAGTTTGGGATTACCAGCTAGAGGAAAAAACATTAGAGCACTTTGATCACACAGATCCAAGTAAGTTTTTTTTAATTTTTATTTTTTTAAAAATAGTTGTAAAATTCAATTAAAAATAGCATAACATATTTACCTTAAGTACAATTTGCAGGTGAACTGCATCTTATTCAAAAAATATAAATACTGCAATGCAATTTACCATTATTGAGAGTTAAAAATGATCTGCTCCTAAAATAAAATAGACATCTTTAATATCTGGCCAATTAGCTAATGCACAAGATGTTAAAATCTTTTATTGAAGGACAGTTATAAATAATTGTTTGTTCTAGAATGAGTGAATCTACAAAATATTTGCTTGTTTAATTTATAGAAAACTATTACCTTTTGCTGAGAATATCATAGGAGATTGTCAATGTGTTTTTATTGTAAGTCACTCAACAACTGAGTAAATCCATACTGTCTGTTACATACTTGAAAAATTTTATGATTACAATATTGATGTTTTTGCATTATTTATTGATTTTTAGCTGGTGTTTGATAAAACTAATAGAACTAAGTTGGTATCCATTTTTGCTGAGCTCAAAATACTAACTAAGTTAATCAAACTAATACATATTACCCTCAAAGGATCTAAATCTGCTATTATCTCGCAGGGTGAGATTTTAGATGCTTTTAATATTGATGTTAGTATCAGACAGGGGATTTATTATCACCATTACTTTTTATTCTGGCTTTTGATTATATAATTTGCCAAATGAATTTGAAAGGCTCTTTTATCACTAAGACCATTCAGCTTTGCTTTAACTAAGGATATCATCATTTTGAATAGATGTAGAAGTGCTTTAATTTCTTTGACAACCCATCTTCTAAAAGCAGCAGTAGGCCTCATTATTAATGAACAAAATTTGAGAAACAAACAAAATCTACCACTTTTTCATCAGTGCTGTGGTAGATATCTCTAAGTTTGAAAGAGTTTCACTTACCTAGGTTCAATCAGTGAAATTAATAACATTTCTGAAAAAATTAACTCCAGGAATACAAAAAGGAAATACAATTTTTGTACTTATACCAATTCAAAAACAACTTCTTACTGAGGAAATAAAGTTGAAGATCTGTAAAACAGTTATCTGACTTATAGTTAGATATTGCAGTGAAACTTAAAGTCAAACAATAGATGAATTTTACCTACTAATCTTCAAAAGGAAAATTTTAAACTTTTTCAGACAAATTCAGGTAAATAATACACAGTGAATAATAAGAAACAAAAGTGAACTTCATCATTAAATCAGATGAAAAAACATAATTCCATTTATTAAATCCAAGATGTTCTGTATTACAATATGGCCCTATAACTCCCCTTAATATTGACCCATAATATTGAAACTGGACTATATGTTATTTTACCGGGTATTAGTGTTCTTAACAAGAGGAAATAATATAGCCTTATTAGGGGGTACACAAAGTGGCCCTATAGGTGACTATGTATGTATATATATAATAGTGTGTTGAATAGCATTTAAATTAACTAGGGCACCTTGAAAGATTAAATGACAATAGAAATGTGGGAAAACTTTTAAATTGGAGACTTCTGAACTCCAGAGGCCAAAAAAGAAATGTGTGAACGGCCACCGAAGATCTAACCACGTCGAAAGTGAAAAACTAGAAGTCGAAAGCTTAACATAGGAAAGTCTGGAACAATATTGTGCAGTAAGCCAAGGCTCACAGTGGTCTGTGGTGCTGCATAATCTATAAATGTATTGCTTCTTTTAATATTTTCATCAATTTATACGAATTCTGTTGACTTCACAAATGTATTGAATTTTGCACAAGACAAAAAATTCTGTAAGTTTAAAAGTAAAGTACCAAGTATACATTTCCCTATGTATGCTGTAAACAAAACAAGTTTTTGAAATGAGATTCATAAACTGTAATGTGATTTGGAAGAATTTACTGATACTATTGTGGAGACAGTTATTCCAGTTTTATGCAGGCATTGGTGGAAATTTCTGGTACAATTGCATCTTAGTGATGAAAGAGTGATTACTATATAAATTATTTTAAACATTGATTTATTATGGAGTATTGTTAGTGTTAAACAAATATGGTCTTATTAAATAAGAATAGAATAGTAAGCAGCATCTCTTATAATAGAGATGAGGGCATTTTTAAACCTGATGAAATTTTTGTTAATTAAATAACAGTCAGAGTGAGGGGCAAAACTCCCAGTCCCAAGGCCAAGAATTAAAAATAAGCATTAATTTAATTGTTTCTAGCAGACACTTAGGAGCACGGGAAGAGATCCATGGTTGGCAATTTATCGATAGATAAAATAGTTAAAACAAAGCCAACTTAAAATTAATAATAAATTTTAAATAATCTGGCTGCAACTTAATCACCAAAAATACTGGGGGAATTAATGTAACCCTGTAACTGAAAAATTTTTGTGGTTAGGAGGGGGAAAAAAATAGCTCAAGGAATAGAGAAAATAGCTCAATAATAGATTTTGATATTCAATTTAGTCGCGACATTGAATTAATGAGTTATATTTTATATGAGTTATAGTTGAATTAAAAGTCAGCTGTTACATTGATTGTTAGGAATAAAATAAAATATTTGTATTAACTTTTTATAAAATGTGATAAAAATTAAATAATCGGTTTAATTAAACTTTGATTAAGACTGATTAAAGAAAATACGTTTATAAAATTAAAGAAATTTTAAAAGCTGGGAAGTGTGTAATGCCTGTAATGGCATCACAACTACCTTTTCTGTTTGGGTGGTCTGTTGTTTTGGGTATAGGCATTTATAATGTATTTCATGCTTCAAAAAATTTTCTAATACACTCTTAAACAGCGATGTTACTTATGAAGATTATTTCATTTTTGTTTCACTAAGTGTAAACCTTAAAATTTATGAAACAAACAGCATCAATAGCAGTTTATTTACATACATGATTAATTACTATCTGTGGGCTAGTTTTTAACAAAAAATTCAATTTGTTTAGTAAATTTATAATTTTAATATATATTGTAAGCTTCATAATGGTTTGATATTTATAATAAAAATCTAAGTTTTTAAAATTAATAAAAACAATTTATATAAATTTTATAAACTAAAATTTTTATTATAAATATCAGGCAACGGACATTTTGGCAATTTGACATACAATTTTTAGCAAAGAAACAAGTTTAATTGTTTATTTTGGTACTAAATTTGTAAAAATTTTCGGAAGTGATCCACAGCATTTTGTTTGAAAGTTAAGAAGATGGAATCACTTTCTAACTAAAAATTTATCTGTCTGGCAATCTATTTAAACATCTGTGAAAGTCTATTGAGTTTGAACTTTGATACATATTTATATTAATCTCTAATATTTAATGTCTTAGAAGTATAAAATTTTTGTTTGCATTTTTAAATGGATTTTGATATTTTAGTTGTTGTGAATGTAAAAAAGTATTTACCACAAGTTGCAGTCCAACATCTGAGGGAAATAAAATTCCTGCCTCATAGAGAAGACTTTGAAAATGTATGTGGTTTCTTCTTGTTAATTAATATTTTGATGAATGTGTGTGTTATTGTTTCTTATTATTACATTTGTGAAATAGACCTTTGATTATACCTAATGTTAAATTGATGGGAACCAAATAAAATATAGAAATATATTTAAGCAAAAGTGGATTCAAGTTTCAACATTGCAGTTGAAAATCATTTTCAGTGCACGATAAAATACACACAAAATGAAGACTTTGCTTAGCAGATCCCCTCAAGGAATTTTTTGCTTAAGAGAAGTATGTAATAATTGAGAAATTTAACACAAATAGTAATGGGATTGATTATTTTAAGTTTTAATTACATTTATATGATAGGAAACAAAATTCAGAAATTGTGTAGTGAATTAAATTTCTATTTATTTAAAATTTTGTATAAAAATATAGGAAATTTGTTTTAAAATACAATATATGTACTGCTTAGTTAACTCACATACATCATTTTGCATTGATCTAATACAGGAAAAATTCAATGGCAGTTTGTTTTAACTGATGTGTGGAAGTTTATTTAACTACAAATTTAAACATCATGCCATCATTTAAACTAAAGCCTCTCTCCAGGAACTTCAATGTAACATATTATCATTATGAAAACAAATTGAAAGATAAGACTTCTTACATTCTTATTCTCTATAAATCTGTCATTCATATCTTCTACGTTGGGCGATCTTGTTACTTTGAAGCCCCCACCTTTTAGCTTCCACAATGTAAAGGGAAGAAATTACTACTGATTTGGACTTACAAATCAAAACTAATCACACCTCTAATTAGTAAAATTAGGAGTGGTTAATTAATAAAATTAATTTACCTAATTGAAGTAGATAAAAGTTCCTTGCAAGAAGACTTCATCTCAATTGAAAAACTTTTCCTGGATGCTGTTTCTGAATAAAAGTTTAAAATTAATGACAGCAAAATGAAAAAGTTTATCCTATTCAATTAAAGATCAATATTAGTTATAAGTATTTTTAATCAAAGGAACTTGACTGAACTATTCATAATTCCATAAATGGCTTTGAATTTAAGTGATAGTGTAAAATTGTGTTACAGTGTTTTACATGAATTGTGGCAATATCTAGCATTTGGCCACAGCAAGCTTCTTCTTCTGTTTTTTTAATAAATTTATTTATTTTAAAGTAATTTAAAGTATTTTATAGTAAAGTAATGCTTGCAGTTCACAACAATAAAGAACACAATGATACAATCAACCATTACTCAAATGTTATAAAAGCAATGTTTGTAGTACATTTCTTTTTTATTACTCCTCACCCTCTAGAAAAGTTTGTCCTTTTTCTTTCTTAATTATATTGTTTTTAAAAAACTTCACACTTATGTAATATTAGTGTTTTACAAAATCATGATGAGAAATAAATTTAAAATTTTAATGCGGCTGCCTTGGAAGAGATTTTTTAGATTCAAAAAATATTTGATCTACTTAAGATGGTATCCTTCCTATAGAAGAGGTACATAATTGTTTATTTGTTGAAGACTTCTTGTTGTGCACTGAAGTTGATATTCCTTTGCAGCCTTGAAGCTTGTACTGCGTATAAGCTGCAAGTATATAGAACCCATAAAAAAAGTTAAAAATGCAAATAAAACAAGGATGAAAATAAAAGAGGGAAAAAAATTATTCTTTAGAGAAAAAGAAAGAAAATATTAAAAATTAAAAAAAAATTATTGATTTTTTTTGTATTATTTTTTTTAAATATTTTTTAATTAAAATTTGTTTTTCAAAAATACTTTTTAATTTTTAATAGTTTTATCTTTTTTCTGCTTTATTTAAAAATATATTTTTTTCCTTTTCTATTTCTTTCCTTGTTTTCTTTGTATTTTTATCTTATTTGTATTATAACTAATTTACATATTTCTATTTGTTAACCTTTCACATTTAAAATGTGAGTAATAATATATTTTCTGACATATGTGTGGAGTAATATATTTTCTTTTCTTGTTGCTAACAAAATACAAAAAATATGGCCAACGATAAATTAATATCTAAATTTTAAAATAATCAGTTATAAAATATAAGGTGAAAAATCTAAAATTCTGTCCCTAGCTGTTTTGTTAGTATTTGTATTTTTGTTGTAGATTGAATTTTTTAATTTTGGACCCATTTTTCAGTGTAGTGTAATTCAATTCAGAAATGTTTTTATTCCATTAAGTGTGCGTTATAAAATTAGAGAAGTAAATAAGCTTTGTTTAATTTTTTATTTTGTAAAATTGTGCTTTAAAAAAAACGATTAAATGATTTTGATAGCATTAACCAATTGAAAACAATAAATGAATCACATAATTAAATGAGTTAACCAATTTTTGCCTAACATACTTAGTTTAAAAATTGAAATTTGAAAAAATTTATTTTTAAATTGAATATTTCTTTTAAAATATAAAAGTTGAATGTTAAAAAAAGCTCTATTGTTAATTGTCTACAATTTTTCCCAAGAAGATCATTGACGTATGTGTTGCAGAAGCAGTCCATTGAATCCAGCATCACATTCTTGAATTACAGTCTTAGAGCTTTTTCATTTTGCTCATCTTAACTAGCTCTATTTTGTTGCCCTCTGTGTTTTCTTTTTGTTTTTCTTTTTTAATAAGTTCCTCGTGATTATTCAAATTTTTGCAATGTAGAGGCTGAGAGATATTTAAATGTGCTGTAGCATTGTGTCCTCTAATTTTTGATAAGCTGTCTTATTGATTTAAAATGGCAATCTTTTGTTTTAATGTTAAAGCAACATTTTCTACCATTCATATCTTCAAACTCTATGCAAGCGATCATAAAATATTGATGTGCTAATTCTTGGTTCAGGCAAGGCCCCGCTCTTCTGAGACACGAAGAATCACTTGCCATTAATAGCCAATCACCACATTTAGATCCACCTGCAGTTGAAAGATCTCCCAGGATGAAAGAGGGAGAACTTTCGAAAATTCAATTGATAGCGCGGGGAAAGAAATGATTTGGTTCTTTTTGAACACATATACAGTGAATATTTCTTTGGCAGTTAAGATGAGTTTTGAAAAAATAAATAGAAATACTGATATATTATTAAATGAAGTAATGATCACAGAAAGTGATAATTTTAACATACAAATTAATAGAGAAAATCCAGACCTAGTGATTTTGATAACAAGTGTTTGATAACCTTAACCACAATCATCATAAGTAGAGACTACTGTATATATTCTATGCAATGTAATTTTAGTAATAACTATAGTGATTGTTACTTGATTAAAAAACTTCATTCATTTCAGAAATATACAGATTGAATATAACTGTGGAAATCATAGATGTCCCGGGGTTCAATTTTTGAGGGGGACGAAATTGAAACACACAGTCATGATAATTCTTTAAATATCACACATAAGAAATATTTTCCTATTTCTGCTAAATCTATGCAAAAGTATTAATAATTTTATTTTTGTGCTTTACTTTGGTGGATTTAAATCTGTAATGCTTTATGAAAATTTTATTTATTTATTTGATTGGACTTTGAGGGAAACTTTTAGAGATTTCTAATTATTGAGGAGGGCATATACCCACCATCTCGCCAACAACACTTACATGTCCACATGTTTTTGGCCCTCAAAAACAAACGCCCATTTTCACGATTTGTCAGATCTTGTTCTCCTGTCTCCTTATTTTATCGCATGAATGCTGATTCCCTTATTAATGACATTAATTCCTCACCACTTTTTCATAGGGCTTGGAAATACTTTGAATTTTTCTTCTCAGCCACAGTGGTTTTTCTAGTTCTTCATCTTTATTTTTTGTTTGCAACTTTGTTATTCACACTTGAAATTTATATTATCACCCACCACAGGGCTCTCTTTATGTGTTAAGAAACAGAATATTTCAAATTCTTTTCTTTCCCTTCTGGCGAGTGAGCATTTATTTTTGAGTAAAATGTCGACTGCTATATCAAATGTGTATATGTTTGAAGCAAAGGAAGTTTTTTAATCAAGACTTCTTCAGTTTCTTGGAATTATTTATTTAATATAGTAATAACTGTAATTTTTTTTCTTGATAGTATTACATTTGATTATGGTGATAAGTATGACTTTAGCAACTTGCATTTATGTATATATTATTTATTTATTATGATATATTATTTTAGCCCGAGGTATTTTATGTAATATGCTTTTTGTTTTTAGTATGTTTATGAAGATATAGAGAGGATGCTTACCCATGTTGATTTTTCCTCATATTATATCAACAATCTGAAATCTCTAAAAATAGGTGATGTATTTTTTGTTTAAAATGTTTTCTTTGTTTGAAACTGATCAATGGAGTGAGAAATTCATTTTTCTTGAATTTGTTTGTGTAGTTTGAAAAATCCATACAATAAATGCAGTCCTTGATTTATTAAATGAATGGAAAAAATATTTTAATTCAAGCTAAAAATTTCCTAGGAAATGGGAAGGGAAATTAAAATTCAATCTAATTTAGTTCTGTAGAAAATATGGCAAGGAATTAGAGAATAAATCTATAAATGGGATCGAAAAAAAGATAAACAATTAATTATCTTGAAAGCAAACGTAAAATCAAAAATCTAGCAATGCATGTGGGAAATATTATTAAAAGCTATATTCAAAGGATTTTGCTAATAATCATATTAGGATATTAAATGAAAGATTTTTTATTAACTTTTTCATTTAGAGCTGGATTTTAATTTGTTATGTAATAATATATTTTATTTATCAAAACTTTGTGGTAAGTTGATTAACTGAATTAAGTAATGAATAATTTCAGACTTATGTTAGATTTAACAGTTCAGTAATGCCAAAATAAAAATTGTTTCATTTATTTCTTACTTTTTTTCTTTATAATTTTTGTGTTTATAGTTTATTGATTTAGAAATTGTTTTATTAAATAATTTAATGTAAATATTTTTTGAGACAAATTTTTTGTGTACTTTTATTTAGAAATTATGTCTGGAATCTGTCAAATTGTGTCTTGAACTTTTTTTATTCTTAGTTTTTTTATCATATAGATCAAGAAGTGCGAAACCTTCAACTTGTTATCGTTGATGCCTACCGAACAATTGTGACTGAGAGAATGAAAATGTACAAACTCATGCAAGATTTTAAACTGATAGAACAGTTTTTTTTAAATATGCAAAACAAAAACTTTAAAAAATGGTAGTATTTTTTATTGTATTGTTTGCATGAATGCTTTTTGCTTTACTATTTATCACTTAATATATATTAGATATTTTTTAGCAGTTACAAGAATAAGTTTTTTTATTGTATTTTCCAGTGAAGTAGATAGGCATTTTACTGCAATGCAGAAATTCATTAGCTTCTTCGACTCTCCTAATGAGTTCATTAAGTTTTATGTTGATTGTGTGAGAGAGAAATTATTGAAGCTAGAAATAGCTAGACTTTATCAAGTATTAGCTACTAAAAGGAATAAAGGTAGTTATAATTTTATTTTTTTAAACAATTATTTCTAAAGATTTTTTAAAATGAATAATTATCTTACATTGTTTTTTAATAAATTTTTTTTTCAAATTAGATTTTGTAATTTTTTTTTTGGATTTGGAATGACTAAATTAGAAGTTGTCTAAAATGGCTTTAATATTAAAAGAGATTATTTAATATTATTATTACATAATTTTTTCAGTAATATTGCGGTCCCACAGTGGACTGATCATTAAGACACGGTTTCCAGCAGATCACCAAAATCAAGCATCACTGGTTGTGGTTAGTGTGCAGGTGGGTGACCACTTAGATCAGTCTGCTTAGGGATCGAGGATGTGCGGTATTGGTCCTCATTAAACTGTTCTACCGTAAAGNACCCTATTAAAGTAAATGTTTTTTCAGTATTCTGAGAAATACCGTGAGAAAAAAAAGTAGGCATAAGGCAAATAAAAATATATAGTCTTAAAAAATAATAGCTAGCATAATTTCTACTAAAATTTTGGTTTTTGCCATTTTGTCTGAGCTCAAGGGGGGTGTTTAAACCCCTAAACCCCTCCCTTGTGTACGCCACTGCTTCGGATCATCCTGAGGGATGTTTCCTAGACCGTTGCTAATAGCCCATTTTGCAGCTCTAGTGCAATGTAAATGAACTACAACAACAACTCAGTAATATTGTGCTTATTTAGGATAAATTTATGAAGAAAACTGAAAGGTATATAAAAATTTGAAGATTACAGTATGTTTTATTTGCAACTCTAAGTGACATCCCAATAAGAGTTAAATATGTTTAGTAACTTTTTTGTGAGTTTCATGAATTCATCTTTTCCAATTGACTTACATGAAATTTTAGTTGTGCATTTTTTATTTATCTAGCATAGACTGAGGTTACCTATTTATCTGTAACATAACCATGAAAATTTTTTTGAACACATTAACAGAGTGTTTCTCTAACTGTAGGTTTGCAGTGAAAAGTTAAGATCTTAAAAAAGACTTTGTTCATTACTGAAGATGTTTAATAGTTCTAGATCATTTTAGAATTTAAAATAACTGATATTGTAAATGGAAGTATATACAGTTTTGCCTGTAACACATGTGTATTTATTTTAGAAATTAATTTAAAATCTGAAAATTGACTATTTTATTTTCTAGAAAGAGATCCAGAGGTGAAAACTCTGCTTAAGAAAAGAGCACCAGTAAGTATTAATAATAATTATGTTCTCTTGATTTTTTATCTATGTCACATTTTTGCTCTATACAGTTTGAAAAAAAAATAATATTTGAAATATTAATTTGCATATCTAATGATCTTTTTTCTTTTGATTATTAGTGATAGTGGTATTTATTTCACTTAGTTACATTTTAACTTGGCAGCCCCGAGAAAGGCATGCATACCTGATCTCAGCCATTGTTACAAAAACTGTCATGTGTGGAATTTCTTTGTAACTAGGTTAACAGCAAAAGTAAAAATTATCAGTTATGTTGTTTAGTGTTTGAAGGCTTGAATTAATTAAAAACATTCATACATTCAATGCAATTAACATCAAAAAAGCTTCTGTTATATATTTCATAGTCAGGATTTTTGTATTTTATAACTTCCATTTACAATATAAGTTATTTTAAATTCTAAAATGATCTAGAACTATTTCTCAAAAAACACTGTTTCATTCCCTCTCTTAATGCAACAAATTAAGGTAGAAGGAAGTACAGTTTTATTTCATTATTGGATGCATATACTTTTCATTCCACTCAGAAACTTGATACTTAGATTTAAGATGTTCTACAGCTGTTTAGTGACTAATACACTGTTTTAAGTTCAATCTTATTCGAAGCTCATAATTTTGTTTGACACAATTTTCATAAATTTTGCGTTTACAAACCCCTGATCTTCCAGAATTGCTTATTTTTCACAGTTTCTTTAGGTTGGATCCTTTCGTGGCCCATGTTCGTTTCACACACTCACCTGATGCTAAAACAAACTAGTCTATTATTAATCTAGTATTCTTGTTTGTGGAATATGCTGGTATATAATCATCTTAACCTATCAGCAGCTTTGCAAGTAGGAAGTCATGATTTTTAAATTTTTTTTAAATTCTCTTAAATGGTTGTGCACATGAAAATCCTCACTACATTTTCAAATTACAAATAGTCCTGTACATAGAAAAAGCTTAGGAATTTTTTTCTCTCAGAAACACCCACCTGTTTTGAATTAGGTAGAAGAAAAATGACTCTTCATACAACAGTTTTTTAATTAGAGGGCGAAGTGCTCTAGCCTGAACCAAAATAGTTTATAAAAAGTGTGAACATTTGGAAGCAGTACAAATGGTAATGTTAAAGCAGGAGAGCGTTTATTTACTGAAAGAAGTAAAAGGTACTAACTATTATAACAGTTAGGCAATAGTAAAAAAAATATTGATAATTTTTTTTCCATGTATAAATATACTTCTCAAGTACTCTCTTTACTCTCATGTATAAATAAATATACTTGACTTCTCAAGTCCATTTATTTTTGTTAAAAATAGTTGAATCAATAAACATATCTTGCCTACAAATAACCACGTACATGTGATGCATGGTTTTAAAATACAAAATTTAGCATAATATGTTACAAATGCCTTTATGCTTGTTTATCAATTAAAAAAATGAATTTAATATTGATGAGTGACACTTATTACTTAATCTCAAACGCTTTTTTTCTCCTGAATACTATGTACTGAATTTGTCGAAAATTTCACATTTATACTTGGTAAGGGCAATAATTTTCATCCATTACAAATTAATTTATTAGTTCATTTTTTACAAGTTTAATTCTGTCGCTTACATTAAAAATAATTCATCTACATTTTAGAATCAGTATATCAATTATGTGCTCGTGTAATTGTAGTGTGATGTAATTGTTTTCATTGAACATTTTAATAAAATGAAAGCTTTATTTATACCATTTTCCAACTATTTCATCGTGGTTTTTATAATTAATAAAGAATAAATGTTTATTTAATTGTATAGAAGTACAAAGTTTATTAAATAATTCAAAATTTTAATTGCTACTTTGTTTGGTATTGTATTTATGTTTTGTTTTATACATCTTTAAAAAATCCCTAAAATTCCCTCCATATTATATGAAAATAGTGTGCTTTTTCTCGTGTATAATTTTGGTTTAGTTTTGGAATCTACTGTATTCTTCCTCCTTCATGATGACAACTATGAGTAACATACATTTTTTTTCACTACATTATTGATTTTTATTTTTCCACTTTATAAAACATCACAAATTGTTATAAATATTGTACTCCTTCTATATCTAATCTTTCTATGTATATTTTTATGTATAATCTGTGTTATGTAATTAATTTAACTGATAGAAAATAGTCTTTTCTTGATGTAGTGCTCCTTCTCGATGCTGACAAAGATTTTATACTGCACAAGGCTAAAAAGGTATTTATTACTCTTACCATTATTATTTTAAACATTCTTTATATTTCATTAAAAAAGTGAAACTTGTTACTTTATGTCTGGAAATATTGTTTATTCACTAAATCAAATTGTAGAGAAATATATTAATAATTAATATCTGTTAATAAATAGTGTAAAAATACAGCAACAGACCAACCCTAAATAAAAAGCAAAAACATTCCTTTTTCTCTCGAACCCTAACGGTGATTTGGCATAATCCTGTTTTAAGAAGAGCCTCTCCTGCTGAACTCTTAAATGTTTTCTTTTATATTCAGGGACCATATCAACACTTGGGGAACTGGTTTACATTACATCTATGGAAGCCAACCTTCTTTCTCTTAGTACATTCTTTGGCACAGGGTTAAAAAAAATTTTATATAAAGTTTTTTTTTTCTATCTGAAAAGTACATAATCAGTAATATTATAAGTATCTGTAAAATAAAGACATACTTGACATTGATGTGAACATGTTTGAGTTTTTGGTATGATCAAAAAATGAGTTTGAGATTTTGATCCTTTAAGTTTTTGATATCTTTTGCTCAGCAAATGCATTGCATTTCAAAGGAAAGGAAAATGCTTGAGAAATATACATCTACCTAGGATGGGAGCTATTTAAAGACTTGCCCCCCCCCCCTCTTTTTTTAAAATTTTTTGCATTCTGGTTCAAAGATGATGGGTATGTATTCGAAAAATTAAAAAATTAATAATCGTTAAATGAATCTGAACTTTTGCATCTCACTGAGTGATTCTGCTTTAGTGCTGCATGTAATACATCAAAAATCATAGAATGAGCACAGCAAAAAAGTTAAATTCTTTGTGAAAATTACAAATAATGCACCAGTTGATTTATGTAAACAGAATTAAACCTAACTTAAGAAGAAAAAAAAATATTATTATTATTTTTTTTTGCTTCAATAGCAATATGAAAATATATTTCTGAGTGTCAAATTGCATCTACTTATCCTTGATCATTGTTAAAAGCACATTTGAAGTGCAAATTTATTTTATCTCTGGCAAAATTTTGTAAATTTTACAGATTTAAAATGTTAAAACTACTTTTAGTTTTGCCAGCATCAATTTTTTAGAAATATTATTTTTAATATTTATTTTGAAAAACTGAAATTGATTAGAATCAGGAATGTGTTACGTTTTTGTTTATTTCTTTATAGAATAAGTAAAACATATTTCTTATATGTTTTACTTATTCTTTCTCTTTTATTTCTTTAAGACAGACATATTTTTATCAATAAATTTTAGGCTTATTTGCTTTCGATAATGAAGTGCTTAAATAATTTTTACTTTATTTCCCGCCCCCCCCCAATGCTATTACAAATCAATAGAGGTTTCTGCTACTGGAAAAAGAATCAGTGATCTAATCAGTATTCATAAAAAATAATGTGTTTTTTATTATCTTATTTAAAGAATACCAGATTTTGATTTGTTTGATCTTTATAATTAGTGCAGAAATTTTAGTTTTAATTCTTTGTTGAAATATTACTGAATAATTGGTAATAAATTTTTTTTCCTTTTCCCTTATCATAAAATATTTACATTTTATGTATAATAAATAAGATACTATGTATAATAAATACATTATATGTATAAGAGATTTATATTATTTTAAAAAGGGTTCTGCTTCTAGTGTATGACACATTTCCAAAGTCTAGCAGAATCATTTCCACTTATTTTTAAATCTTTTTAATATATTTCATTTGTATGAGTGTAGTTTTATTTTATTTATAAACTATTACATTCTTGAAACTTTTTCCATGTAGAGGAAGAAAAAATTCAAATTCACGAAAAGGAAGAGGTATGTATATTTAGTTTAAATTGTTATAATCGTTGTTGTAATCATGTAATGTTTTTTTGTTTTTTTCTTTAATCTTATTTTGGGACTCTTATTATTTTCCTATATCTGAGATAGCTGTTCTGTTTTTATTGCATTTCTTTTTAAACTTTATGCCTTATTTTTCTGTGCTGTTTGCTTGTGGTTTTTTTTAAAAAAAGTTTAGAGTTATGTGTATTTACTCAGAACAGTTCTTACTTTTCGTTTATTATATTAAAAAAATTAAGTCTATTGTGTAAAAAAAAAAAAAATCTTATCAAATTGAAAAAACCTAATCTTAACTTTTTTATGATAAACCTGATGCAATATTTATAAATATAAATTGCTCATACAGTTGAGTAGAAGATCTCTTTTTAAAAACACATCTCTTTTGATTTACAATTATTTTCTTTGTTTTTTAAGTATTGTTCAAGAAATATTGTTATCAAGATTTTAAAATATTATTTTATTAATCAACAAAATTACTAATTATAGGCTGTATTATTTCATGCAATGTAATTAAATTAGGTTATGTATTAGTACAGCAGTACAATGTGATTATAACCTGCAATAATCACCAATATGATCCATTGCAGAAAGCAATTGAACTGATGAACTGGAATTCATCGACTAAATAGAGAAAAAAAACTTTGAAAAAAAATATCTTAATTCACCTTGCTAAATATGCAAAAAGTATACAGATGGTTTGATTACGAGATGAAATAAAGGTGAATAAATAATTAACGTGTCAACTCAAACTTCGGTGTCCAAAAGCATTAAAGTTAATAAAGTTGAATAAAATAATTAATATTTCAACCATTAAAATTAACATTGATATTTTTATCTGCCTTTAAATTTTCTTGAAAAATCAAATAAAAAATGAGATTTTTTTACGCAGCGAAATTAGAGGTGGAACCGAAGAGAATAATCAAAACTGTTGAACAGATCACCAAAAATTTAACAATAGGTTCGCAAATAATACTATAATTTGAAAGTGATAAATTTGTGTAATTTTAAGGTAATTTGAATTCACAATTAGTCGACAGAAAACTGGACAAAAATTGGAGTAAAATTATGGAGGAAAAGTTATTTTGAATTCACAATTAGGTAAAAGAAAACCGTTAGGAGTAAAATTGTAAAAGAAAGAATTGAATTAATAACTTAATAAAAAAAAAACATTCAGAAATTGAAACCTAAAATAATTTTTATTTATTTAACAAATTTTTGATGAAATGAATAGGCTGTCATTACTACATTCAAAATCAAATAAGTTTCATTAACCTAAAATTAATTAAATTAACTGTTAAATCATGATTGAATAATTAGTATATATTTTTTTTTACATATTCTGTTAATTTCACAATAGAAATAAATTTAATATGCCCATTTATTAATTTATTCTGGCTGATTTTAACTGGAGTGGGGTTAATCTCTGGAGTCATCTTCCTAACATTGTATCATTTTCTGAAAAATTTTTTTAATATCAATTATACCATTCTAATAATATTACAATTATTCCATCTATAATATTCCATTCTATAATATTGCATCACATAATTTAATTATACAATTTCTAATATGTATTTTTTTTTAAAACTTTTTTTTAAAATTATGGTTTTACTTTACCAGAAATACCAAAATTCTCATTTTATCCTAAATTAACAAGAACAAAAATAAAGAAAAAATGTTGGGTTATTGTTAGGAGGAAGAAAAAATATGTAATGCATCAGCAATACCCAATTTTGAATTCAAGCAAAAACATAATCAGAAAATGACAGCAGATAGTTTAATATAATGTCAAAGATGATGTCCTTGGATGTTGTTCAATCTAATTAATTCTTACTTTCCAGTATTAAATAGAGGTAATGGTAAGTTTCCACTAACCTTATTATGGACCGCCTTTTTTAAATGTGAATAAACATTTATTGTTTCTAAACTACAAGCTGATAAAGATGATGAATATACATAAAATGAAATAATTCATGATTTATGGTAATTAAAAGGTGATGAAAGATTATGACAGTTAATTGCGGCAAGCAATCAATCTAATAATCTTGATAATGAATAAAAAATTAAGCCATTAGAAAGTGATAATGAAACAAAAAGTATAATTGTTTTTTTTTTTATAATGTATCTTTTCTTATTAAGAAACTAAATATTTTTGAAACTTTATAATAATTTCTAATTATTTTAAATTATTTCCCTATCTTATTTAAGCTTTAAAAAATGAACTTGAAGAGATCCCCTGATTATCTGACATACCTGTTAGTCTTAAGTGTGTGAGATAATCAAGATTCAACAGTAAATGTTGCAATTTAAAAAAAACCACACAGTGAATGTCGACAAATGATATTTAATCTGTGCATAAATAAAAAATAAAAGTAATAGAAATATTCACATGATTTTTGTTTTAAAAGCAAAAGTAAAAACTGCTGCAAAATAATGAAAAAGTTGATTATAAATATGAAAAAAAAATTTTCGAATAAAAAACTTAAAAATTTCTATGTGAGAAGAAAGAACTGATGTCACATTCACTTATTTTTGTCAATATTTTAAAGAAAGTAAAAGTGATATTTAATATTATTCCAATGATTGATTTTTTCCCCTTATCATTATCTATTCAGAACACGATGAAGTATTCATTAATGCCCTTCCAACTATACTTGAAGGTTTAGAGCTAAGGTTTGCAAGAATGGTAAGTCATCGACTTTTCTTCTTGCTAAAATTAGGCTAAATCAGTTTTTGCAATAGCAATAAAATACAAAACAATCAATTTGCTAATTGATTAAATTGGAACTTTAAATAATTTGCTAAATTTATTTTTTAATAATTATGTGTTTATTTTATTCTCTAACTGTAATTAGGTATTTTTTAGAAACATTGTAAAATTCTTGTTTCTGATTTTTTTGTTTTTGGATAACTTATTATTTCAAATGAAATGCTGCAGAATAAAATAATTTTTATCAAAGGAAATTTTTTTCTTCCAATTTGGTAATTCAATATATTTGATATTTTAAAGTTTTAGCTTAGAAGTGGATAAGCTGAATTTATTAATTTTGAACATTAATTATTAATTTTGGATTTATAAGTTTGTACAAAGCTCTTTTGTACAGTTTCTATTAATATCTCTTGCCACTTCTTATAATTTGACTCACTCAGCTAAACAAGGAAAATTAATTATTTAAAATGTGTGATTTATTGTGAAGTATAATTTTTTTCTTTTAAACAATGTCAAATTGTCTGAACTTAATGAAATAAAACTTAATATATTTATATATAATATATTCTATACAAATAAACATAATATTAATGTAAAAATCACCCTTATATATTTTTCTTCTTGTACATAATTTAAAAACACTAAAATGTCAAATACACTGATTTTTCATTTTGAACCATTCAAAATTGTTACATTTCAGAAGCTCTTTACAGATTCCTTGTCTGAATGATATTTGTAAAAATCTTTCTTATTTATTTTTTTTTCTGAAATTTTTTTATTATTTTCAAATTAAATAAGCAGAGGGAAACAGGATTTCTTAGTCTAATAAATTGGCAAAACACTAGCTTGATACAGTGAATTCGCGATAAGTCGAATCTGATAGGACTGGCGAAAAACTTCGACATATTGGAAGTTCGACTTACCGTTAGTTTCGGTTTTGGACTTTCAAAATATTGTCGGATTATTTAATTAATGCTTATTAATCATTTTTCTGACAAGCCATTTACGATAAGACTGTTTGAAGCACTTTATGATACCCTGGTCCATCGGCTGCAACTTTGCTGTTGTGTTTGGCGGGAGAAACTGCAAGTTTACTGCTTTCAAATTAGGTAGATCACTATGCGCTGTGCATTTATCCATAAAGAGTATCACTTTTCTTTTTTTAGCGAAGAATTTCCGATCCAATTTTCTTACATAGTCTTCAAATAAAACTGATGTCATCCAAAACTTTTTGTTAGACTTGTAATCCAAAGGATACGTTTTTACATTCTTGAAACATCGGGGGATTTCGGTATTTTCCGATAACAAGTAAGGGCAATTTCTCTGTCCCAGACGCATTTCCTCCAACTAGGACAGTCAAACGTTCCTTGCTCATTTTACCCCCTGAGCAGTTTTCATCCTTAAACATCATAGTCTTATTTGGAAGACATTTAAAAAATAAACCCATTTCATCAATATTGAAAACATCATTTTAACTGTATCCTTGAAGTAAATTTGGTAACGTTTCATTTAACCACTGTTCACATACTTCAAGAGGGACAGCTTTAGCTTCTCCATGAAGAGTGCGAAAGACATTGTGTGTGTGTTGCAAAGGAAGGGGCAAGATATCAGCTCCTAGGTTTTTTTTCTTGCTTTAAAAGATCCAAAAAAAATCGAGTTAAAGGGAGTAAAATTCGAGTAATCGAGAATAATTAACATGAAATTGAAGATAAAAGGGTCGGGACCTCATAAAAAAATCGAGTTATAGTAATATTCGAGTTATCGTACTTCGAGTTATAGCGAATTGACTGTATTGTGAAAAATAAGCTTAAGTTATTTTTTCCGTATTTAAGTTTCTTTTATTGTAAATAAATATTGTAATTATAATATTGTAAATAAATAACCTTAAAAATTAAAATATGATAAACTAACTATTGAATGATTATTAATTTATTTTTTAAATTAATTTAACGAGCCAAAAACTTTATAATCTTTGATTCATTAATAAAAGTTTATTTTACTTTTTACAAAGTATATTCAAAGGAAACTCATTAAAAAAATTTTCTTTGTCTGAGAAAGTAAAAAACTGAAATAAAGTGTTCTTTTTACCTGTTATTGGACAAAATAAGAATTTTTTATATGTATGTTAACGGCAAGGTATGAAATGCTGAAATCCTATAGAATGTAATAGGTATTGTATATTATGCAGGGAGTTATTAGGCATAGTGTAAAATCTGAGAATTATAACATACTTTCCCTTAGCATTGTATATAATACCTAGGCATTCTATAGAATGACGAATACTATTTAGGTAAAGTATGAAAAAAAATTCCTGATAAAGCTATTATATAAATGATGTGCATTCCTCAAAAATACCAATGTTATTCTGAAAAAATAAAGAGAGTACCACTATAAAAAAATCTATTCAAAATACGTGAACAAAAATGAAAGTTATTCAAGACAAAATTTATATCTTTCTTAATAAGGGAAACAAAATTTCCATACAAAAAAATAAAAAATTAAAGCTAACCTACTTGTCGCAACACGATTGGCTTGAATAACATTTTTTATTATATTTAGAGGTTCTATTATACATGTTTATTTCGTGCTTTGTCGGTTTCTTAATCAGCAGTCTATTATAATGCCTAGGCAGGCATTCCGTAGAATTCTGAATCTCAAACTTTGCCGTGGTAACATATGTTTTTCATTTAAATAAATTATGAAAACTCTTCGTGAGGAAAAGGATAAATTTTAAAGAGTAATTTATTTTTTCTTTAATTTGTAACAATATTTTTTGTAAGATATTTTTAACATGATGTTTGAAAATAATTTTTTTCTAAATAAATGTATTTTTTGTATTTTACAGGAATAAGAGAAATGTAACTTTGAAAATCAGGGATTAAGACTTACGACAAAATTAGCAAGTCTACTATCTATTTGAATTAGTGCATATGTGTAAGATATAGTGCTGGTGATATTGTACAAATTGAATGGCATTTGATCAGAATTGTTGTGATCAAAATCTTTCTCATCTTTTGAAATGTGATAACATTTTTATTGTTAATATTTTATTTGTGTCATTATTTAAACTGTTCAATTTTAAAATAATTGTAATATTATGCTTCTGTTCTTTTCTTAAACAAAAACTTCAATGAGTTTTCACCTTAAAAAACATTAAAAGTGCATAACAGAAAAATTCTTATTGTTATTTGCGTTCCATTTAAAAAAACATTGTTCAAAATATTGCTATTTTCTTGTTTTTAATTTACTTTTTTGTTATTTAGCATTGTTTTAAGACTGGTTTTTAAAACATTATTGTTATTCAACTATGTTTGGATCTTCTAACTTTTTATGCATTTTGTGTAACTCTATTCTATTTCTGATTTTTTTTTTAATTGTTACAAAATTAAACATTGTATTGACGAAAAAATGTAACTAACTATAACGAAGATTCAATTTTTTAAATGTTGTTAATTGGTTATTTCTTGAATGTTACAAGTTTTTATGAAATTTTTATGTGAACTATTTTAATAATGGTAGTATTTTGAATTTTTATTGCGTAATTATTTTAATTTGTGCTTTAGATTTCCTTAGAAATACTCAAAATAATATATGAAAGTTAAAGTTTCAGACTAAATTCTCCTCTTTATTTTGAATCCAGCTTGTTTTTATGTATATAATACATTCTCAAACATTCATGTGTATAATTGGCATTTTTTATCAGTATAGTACACATACATTTATTACATTTTCATGATCATTGTAATTTTTCATCATTGCATTTGCTCGCATATTCATAATTTTATTTTTAGGAATATTTTTTCTAACAAACTTTTATATGATGTATATTAACTGGATCTGTTTTTCCTTGTCGTAAGTTTTATTCTTCATTCTTGATGTATATTTATTGTATAGCTGTTTTTTTAACCCACAAAACAAATTTTAAAATTTCAAAAATTGTTTTCTTTTGATGTGCAATTATTAATTACCTTTAAAGGAAGTGTAAATTATTCCATAATTTCTTTCTCCTTAATTTTAAGTTTTTCATGTTACATTAGATGATTCATTTTATATTTATTCATTTTAACGATGTTTTAAGGAATAAAATTTTATAACATTATTATTGTTTGTCTCTTACTTATTTACTGATGTAGCACTACAGCCCGATGTGAGCCTCTGCCTGCTGAACAATATCGTTCCAAACCTTCCTATTTTTGGCTTTTTTTAACTTCCAGTTTTTCACCTTTAGATCTTTGGTGTTCTCGTCCAACCATCTCTTTTTCGATCTTCCTTCTGGTCTCGAGTTGAAAGGTTACAATTTAAAAAAATTTCTTAAATTTCTATTCTCATTTAATCTTTCAATGTACCTCAACCATGCCAAACATCTGGATTTAATAAATCAAATTATGTCTTTTCATCTGATTAAATGGTCAAGTTTACTATTGTTTTCTATTTTTCCCTGTGTATTATTTACTTTAATCGGTCTGAAAATTCTTCTCAAGATGTTCTCCAAATTTAATCTTTCAAATTGTAATATTCTTTCAAAAATTTTTTTAATGAATTTTTTTGTATTAGAAAATGAAATTGAAAGTAATGAGATTTTAGAGTCTTGTGTAAGCTTTGTTCATACTTCCTCCTTAGGTGCTTACTTAATATTTGAAAGTCACCAAAATTTTTTTTTTATTTTCCACAGAGCTGTGTTATCAGAATCGAAGAAAACTCTCCAGGACTTAAAGTTGAAGTTGGGAAAATTTTACTACAGTCTACTTAGCTAAAGTTAACTCTTTTTTTTTAAAAAAAAGGTTTTGTTCTTAAAAAATTATTTTGATAAACATTTATAGTTAAATAGAAAAAAATATTCTGCAATGGATATGATGACTATTATCTGAAATATAACTTATCACAAATTTAGTCACATTTTATTGTTTTTGAGCCTGTGTTTAATCTAACTACTTATGAAGAACACAGTAAATCATTGAAATTATTGAAAAATCAAGAATAATAAATGAATTATTTATAGATTATCTTTTCATATATAAATTTCAAAACCAAATTTATTTACTTTAGTTTTTAGGTTAATTAAAAAAATTTCAAAATTTTTTATTATTCGTAGTAGTTTCCTTTTTTATGAAGCAAAACAACTTTTTTGTCATAAGACGTTTATATATATATGCATGAGAGATATTGTTAAGTAGTTCTTTTCTTAAAATGGTTTTGCTCGATTTCAATAATTTGTACAAATATATTTTTAAAAAATTATTTCTTCAACTGTGTTATAGTACAAAATATTATTTTCAATAATATAACTATTACTTTAATCTTATATGAAATATAGAATTGAGTAATTTGGAATTAACAATTATTTAATAGAATTACTTATCTGAATTAGAAGGCAATTTTAATTGGGTATAAGTTGGAATAAAGCTGTGAGGGATATCCAGAGTTGGAATTGAACATTTCATCTGATGATTCTACAGCTCTGATTTAGCATACAAATTGTATAAGTGCATTTCCTATGGTGTTTAATGCAAAGCAATTATCGGATTTTCATACTATACTGAATAATTTATCTAAAAATTATTTTTATCCTTTTTAAAATAAAATAAATTTTTTAAACTTAAAAGTTGTTTAGTTTCAATTCGGCAAAAACGGTGATTGGGTCATTATTACATTTTCAGTTTTACTGAGTATATATTTTAAATTTTTTCCCTGTTTCAGTTTTAATGTTAAGTTTTTTTTCCAACGGTTCTTCATAAAAAATTTTAATTAGAAAAAAAAGTAAAAATTTTTTGAGCTTTTAATATTGTGGTGTGGTTATAAATCTAAACCCATTTAGTTGTGTATGTTGAAAAAGTAAGAGAGTATCAGTTGGAATATAATTGTATAAACAAGTTTCTTATAGAACAACATATATGAGTGTGTTTATATATCTACACAGGGTGGCCTAAAACTTGCGGTACATACGTTAGACACAGCTGGGTGATAGAACACAGCTAGACACAAATCACCATATAATCCATGGCTGAAACGCAAGTCCTAGAGCGCGAAAGATGCTGTGTCATGAAATAACGCCCCCATTAAAAGTCCCCCGTTAGAGGAATTGCGCGGCCAACTTTAACGAAAACACCAGGCATCTGTTGTGGTGTCAGCAGCTACGTATATCCGGCAATAAGAAGGTCTTCAACAGAATCTATGATACCATCATCCTAGTTGACGATTTTCATATTATCCCAGAAGAAAAAGTAGAGGCATGACATATCCGGTGAGATGGCAGGCCAATTGATTGGACCCCCACCGCCCCAGGTATATGATATCTAAGGCGTTACCCACGTACACAGTGGTGCACCGTCGTGTGTTGAAACGTGGTTTAATTGTTCTGGCAACACATCTAGCAAAGCCACAATATATCGAATCTCCATCTAGTCGTGTTGCCAATTGCTATGGTCCAATCTGATAATCGTGCACGATTACGGTCCAAACATTTAGCGCGAAGCGTTGCTGGACCGAACGTGGAAATTTTGCGTTCGGGTTTTCAATTGACTACGCGGGATAATCGTGCATATGTGAAATACCCTTGCACGTGAAAGTTCATTCGTTAGTGAACAACGCATGTCCACAAAAATCCGGTTTCACAGCTGTCTGCTGAAAAAATCATGTGGTAAAATTGACACGTGCCTGGTTGTTGTTGTTAATTTACGTCGCACTAGAGCTGCACAATGGGCTATTGGCGACGGTCTGGGAAACATCCCGGAGGATGATCCGAAGACATGCCATCAGAATTTTGATCCTTTTGATGGCACCCCCGCTTCGGTAGCCCGACGACCTGCGCGCGAAGTCGAACACTTTACGGTAGCACAGTTTAACGAGTACCAATACCGCACACCCTCGGTCCCTACGCAGACTGATCCAAGTGGTCACCCACCCGCACACTGACCGTAGCCAGTGATGCTTGACTTCGGTGATCTGCTGGGAACCGTGTCTTAACGATCAGTCCACTGCGGGACCCACGTGCCTGGTAATCCTATAATACCAGGGCTCTGGTTTCTGTTCATGGTAGGGATGCATTCCTTCATCTCGCCACACTGTATTAAGGAAAACGAGAACGGGGTATGAAAGTGACCGCCTGCTAGATTCAGTCCTTTCGCTGATACGATGCACAATGTCGTCCTTATAGATGACATTCTTACTCTCCTGCCACGTCCGGTATCCTGCATGCAACTTGAAGAGGAACTCCTTTCTCAGAGTTTGTGCAGTCGTTGAAATGTTCTCGCATCAGGAACGGTCTTCTTGAAAAACGTTCTCGGTACAGTTTTTGAGCTTTCCTTGTATTGCCATTTGCTGCTCTGTATATATATGTATGTGTGTATCTAACGTCGTGATAGAATTTAGTTTCATTTGCATGCTGTTGATGACACCCCCGCTTCGGTAGCCCGACGACCTGCACTCGAAGTCGAGCACTTTACGGTAGAACAGTCTAACGAGGACCAAAACCGCACACTCTCGGTCCCTACGCAGACTGATCCAAGTGGTCACCCACCCACACTCTGACCGCAGCCAGTGATGCTTGACTTTTAATTTGCATATGAGGGGGTGAGGACTTGGCCATGCCATGTAGTCAGTGCAGAAGTCAAACCTAACCCTAACTGCTTGCCGATTCAAATAAAAATGAGAAAAAAAACAAGTAGCAAACTATCAGATGCAGCTTATGTATGGGCCGGGGTATTCTGGCTGGTAGGGCGTTGAGCCCATATCTGAGTGGTCTTGAGTTCGATCCCCGCCGACTGAAGTTTCCCGTATACAAAATGGTGACTGGTGCACGCAAAACTGTCGGAGTTACAAAGTCCTGAGTTTCCATAACAAATCAATACCTCTGGGGGAGCCGTGATGGCTCAGAGGATAGAGCGTTCGCCTTCCAATGAAGTGAACTGGGTTCGAATACCTGCGATGGCTGGTCGATACGAATTCCGCATCTGGCTTGCACAGTGCTGACTAAAATATCCTCAGTTGTAGACGGATCATGGGTTAGAGTCCTCTTGCCGTCTGGCTAACCGTGGGTGGTTTTTCTCTCCATGTAACGTAAATACGGTTTTGTTCCATCAAAATGTCCTCCACGAAAAAAAATTTCTCACAGTACTTGATCCAGGAGTTCCCTTATCTTCTGGGATTGGGTTCACAATTACAAGGCTACGGAGTTGAAACTTAGAAGTTGTAAACCCAAAAAATTGGGTCGACTGTTAAAAGACTGACATGAAATAAAAATAAAATACTGATTCGGAGATTGATCATGCGCTAGTTCAGGACAAAGTTACGATCTACGGATGGATGGTGTGTGAATGTGTCCTTCCCATAAAACGGGGTGTGACGTATGTACGTTGTCTCCAGATCATCCTTAAGGATGTTTCCCAGACCGTCGCCAATAGCCCATTGTGGAGCTCTAGTGGGACGTAAATGAAAGTGCCGTACCGAACCAGCTTAAATATCGGAGTACTGAAAGTCGATTTTGAAGTACATATATTCAACAGGAAGAAAGCAGTCAACGGTTGCAGGTTCGAGAAATGAAAATGTTCTAGATCAGCCTAGAGGTTATCCATAATTCAATGTATGAAAAACTTGAATAAAATCAACAAGTTCGAAAAGAATCGGTTCGGATTGATTTATAATTGAGTGATATGGAACAATGAATGTGTGTAATTAGAGTCTTGAATATAACAGAAACATAATAAAGTTCAGTACTATGGAAAATTATTTAAAATTTATATAAGTTGACCCTAAACTTAGAAGCTTGCGTAGTTGAATGCTGGAATAATTATGGGATAACCTGAAATTGACTTTTAAAGTTATGGCTTAGGTGTAATATTAATATCTGAAGGTTGCTACCCCGAGGTAAGCTTTAGTTGACATTTTGAAATAGCTGAGGAGGCGGATATTAACTTGTGTATATCTATCTAGACGAGTAAGCTATTGTTTCTGGTTCACACCGAAACGAATGAAACTAAGTCGAGGCAACTGATAATTGTATAAATACACAATTTTTTTACTTAAGCTATTAAGCGTTTGACGTTAATAAAGTATTACTTTAATAAAATTTCACATAATTACAAATTCATTGAAAAACAAAGTTTC